TGAGGCGAAAGCATGGGGATGCTTACACTTTATCATTGGACTTAGCGGGTCCATACAAGTGTTCAAAGGATGCTCACCAGCAGAAGCCACGACACGCTGTTATTGGTGTGTATCAATTTCCAATGTTGGATCCCAATGTGGGTCGCCCTCCAGAAAAGGAGGAAGATGCGGATGAGGTGGAAGATCAGGTGGCAGATGAAGGTGCTGGTGTCGGAGAATGGTTAGGCGATGCAGTCGCAAACTTCGAGGAGGAAGACTCTGCGCCGGTGGAACCTGCGCCAGTTCTGGAGGCAGAGGTGTTGAAAATCCAAGCTTCTGAAAAATCCTGGAAGGAACTGAAGGACCACTTGACCCAACCTGTCCGTATGATCAACTTCGTTATGGTGGAGCCGATTGTGGATAAACAGCAAACAACTGTTTTGTCGGCAGTTCAAAGGATGATGGTGCGCTTGCAGAGACATGGGTATCCGGTGTTGAGAATCCACTCAGATCGAGCGGGGGAGTTTGTCAATGCACGCTTCCGGTCCTTTTGTGAAACTCGTCTGATATATAGGACCACTGGTGATCCTGGAGTCCCGCAAACAAATGGGCGCGCTGAAGCATGTGTGGGTTTATTCAAACGTGGTGTCAGGTCGCTCTTAAAGGAGGCGCGACTCGGGCCGGCGTACTGGGCACTGGCTGCTCGCCATTGGTCAATGTTACGGTGGCAGAAAGCTGAAAGGGAGTTGGGGTTAAATCCTAAAGCATTGCTTCCTTTTGGTGCTCAGATTCAAGTCAAACGTCGTCCGTGGGAGTTGCTGGGTCCGGAAGAAAGGTCGGCAATGGGTCGATCGTACGCAGCCTGCGCTTCTTTTGGGTCCATGCGATGACCTACCTGGTGGTTATTGGGTGGAAGCTCAAGGGACTGCAAAAGATCCGGATGAACTGGTGTTATTTCCCTGCACTACGATTTTTTCCAATATAAAGGAACCGCCTGAATTGGAGCTGGAAGGGGTGGTAGAAGAACAGGAGCCTTCTCCTCCAGAGCATCGTCTCAAGGGGAAAAAACCGGCGCTTCGGTTTGCTGATGAGGAAGGACCTCCTTTACCTCCGCCTCGCGATCCTCCAGTTCGCCATCGGTTGATGGAGAAAAGCCCGGCCTCTTCACTGCGTGGTCATGTGGGCTCCTTGCGCTTGCTTCGCAAGCGGGGGGAGAGTCCGCCCTTAGAATTTTTTGAGGATGACATGCAGGGTCTGGGGGAGCTGGAAGAAAATGCAGATGTTGAGGACAATGTTCCTGGTGATGAGTATTGGCCGACTTGCTGTTCTCCTCATGAAAATGCTTATTTGGTCTGCAAAAGTGAGACTGCTGGGGATGGAACACAGTTGGAAAAAGAAGAGCAAAAAGCCAAGTCAATGTATGAAAGGTCTATGTATGATTACGTGGACTGCGAGGAGCTTTTGGAAGGGATTGTATACCCAAAGAGGGTGAATCGAAGAGGTGGTATCAACAATTGGTGCACAAGTACGCGAGCTCTGGTGTTGGGCCACTATACTCATGGCGGAGTGTGTGGTATCACAAAAGAGACTCATCGAAGACCATGGCTATGTCGTTATTTGGCATCATTCGTGAGGCACCACAATCCTGAAGCCAAATTTTCTGCTCTTCAGATCTCATGCAATGCTCCGGTGTCATTGCATAGGGATAGTCACAATGAAAAGCATTGCTGCAATTATGTGTGTGGCTTTGGTGACTATAAAGATGGTCAGCTGTGGGTTGAGGATGAAAAGGTCTTAGAGGAAGGAGCTGAAGTGGTGGAGCAATCCTATGGGAAGAAAGTCTTACCTGGAAAATTGGTGGATATCCACTGGAACTTCATGTCGTTCTTTCCGAGAAAGCTGCATGGTCCTATGCCTTGGAAAGGGAACAGGGTATCCTTGACAGGGTACACACCTGTTTTTATGGAGCGTTTGAGCTACAAGGATAGGTGCTACCTTCTCCAATGCAAGTTTCCTCTTCCGGAACCACAAGCTGAAGAAGGTGAAAAAAGGAAGTGGTTAAAAATGACGTTGAGAGAGACCTCGCTGGACGACCTTGCAGAGGAAGTCGACTACGCTGTGTTCGAAGCGCATCAATGGGCTCTAGAGGAGCATTTGAGTATTCGACGCCTAATTGCTGAACAGGAATGTTGCATTTTGGACGAGTTCCATGGATCGGCCAATGAGTCGAATGAGGAGAAAGGATCAGAGACTAGAGAATGGCTGGTTAAAGCAAAAAGGGCTGAGGAACAGCTCTCGAAGTTTTTGGTCAAAGCAGCTCAAGTTCAGCAAATGGTGCAAGAAAATACCGCGCTCGAGGCAGCAGAGGAGGTTGAGTTCCTGCAAACAAAAACAATTCCTACACAAGAAGCCATGCAAGAGCTGGAAAAGTGGAGGGAATCATTGTCGGACGAGGTGACGTCTTTGGTGAAAGAGTTGGAGGTGGTGGAACCAACAACTCAAGAAAAGCTGGACAAATTGGCGGAAGAGCCTAATGCACCGGTGATTGAGTACGTTCCCAGTCTGGTGGTGTTTACCCGGAAGCAAGGGACAGGGAGGCGACGTGCCCGTATCTGTGCATGTGGAAACTTCATTTCGTCAACGGCAGCTACAGAATATGAAGGGCCGAGGTCACTCAGTCGTCACTCGCTGTACGCTCCAGGTTTAGATTCAACTACATTCAGGTGTCAAGTGAGGCACGCAGCATATATGGTGTGGATCATCGCTGGCTTAGACATTTCCAAAGCTTTTCTGACGGCGCCGATGAATAGGGCGCAAAGAGAAGGGCGTTTGGTGGTGGTGCAGCCCCCAAGGGCGGCGGTGAAATTGGGTCTTTGCACAAAAGAGGAGCGGTGGATTGTGAGGAAGGCCTTGTATGGTTTGGCCGAAAGTCCTGCAGCATGGGTGGAGTGGCGAGACCAACGTCTTCAAGGGATGTCTTGGGTGTCAAAGGATGGGCAAGCAATGAGCTTTCAGAGGTCCAATGCAGACCCAAGCCTGTTCCTCATTATGGCACAAGAGAAGTTGGAAGGTGCAAGCAAGTTGGTAGGGACAATGGGTCTTTACGTGGATGATTTTTTGATGGCTGGGACTATGACAGTGCTCCGGGAGGCCTTGGAACAGATTAGGAAGGAGTGGAAAACTTCTGAACCCGAGTTCTGTGGTCCAGGCTGCGGTGATGGATTCCTGAAGTTTTTGGGTGTCCAAATCTGGTATCGAAATGGCAGCTTCTTTCTCAACCAGGAGGACTTTGTGAGAGATTTGCTGAACCGACGAGGGTATCAGGTCGATGAAACTGGAAAAGGGAGTAACCTGCCAATGGTGAAAGAAACTCCAGGTGAAGAAGAGGAGGTGGATATTCCTTCCTTGCGAGCAGGGGAGTTCCTCTGGGTGGCAATCAAAACTCGACCTGATTTGGCGTTCTGCACGAGCCAGTTGTCTTTGTGGACATCCCGAAGGCCACGATTTGTGGTTAAAAAAGGCTGAGGAAGTTTTCCGATACCTTGCTGTAACTCCAACGTTAGGCTTGACGTTCGGAGCAATCGCAACATGCGAAAAAGAAAGGAATGAGGTGTTGCGTTATGGACGAGGTGTTAAGGTGGTGGAGTCCTACGCGGATGCCAGCTTTGCAGCAGGTGAAAATGAAAAGAGCCACTCAGGAGCGGTGGCGGTGTGGGGTGACTGTCCAGTGATGTGGGCAACACAAAGACAATCAACGGTGGCTTTAAGTACAGCTGAAGCTGAATTACATGCGTCCATAGAGGGAGCAACGATGATTCAGTCGTGCACCCCTATAATTGCCGCTTTGGTTGGAACAGGTGAAGAATCGCTGCAAAAAGTGCTGTAGACAGATTCGGTTTCAACGTGCTCGATCATTCAATATCCTGCTGGAAGCTGGAGGACAAGACACCTGAGAATTCGAGCAGCCGGTGTCAGGTCTCTGGTGGACCGTGGTTATATGGTGATAGCGCATCTTCGCGGTGAGTATATGATCGCTGACCTGTTGACTAAGTTGATGAGTGGACAGGTGTACGCAAAGCAAAAGGCACTTTGGGGTCTCCGACTGTTGGTACAAGGGACTGACTTGAAAAAAGCCTCGCTTGCAATGGCGGTCATGATGGTGGCTGCATCTCTGCAGGGGATGGCAACTGGTGGCGAAGAAGTGTCCACGGCTGGATTCTTTTGCTCAGAAGAAGGGGTGTGCAAGGTCGCCAACACGTCTACGGTGATGGTTCTGGCTCAAGGTATTGAAATGGTTGTCAACAATTCAGACCTTGTTGCGTATTTGGTGGCAGCAATTATACTCTGGGAACTGGCATGGTGCCTCTTTCGACGGCTGTATAAATGGCTGTGGATCAAGAAAGCGGTGGTTATTCCTGCGAGTGCCACTTTGTATACAACAGTGGGTGGGAACTGTATGCACGCAAGCAGTGACTGTGATGTTCTGCGATATTCACAGCCCAGGGCTAAGACGCTTTGTAAGCATTGCCTCAAGGATGGCTGGGTGGTGAATGCTGAGTTCCTTGGTGAGGAACGGGCCGCTGGAACGTGAATTTTCCAAGTACGAGGTGAAGAAATCCTCAATGGTAAAGGATTCAGCCAATGAGCTGAAGGTTCGTCCTGGATGACGTTAAACCATAATGTGCATTTCAAGCAGCTGGCTGCTGCCTAAATGGCGGTTTTTGGCCAAAGATTTGCACCTCCAATGTGTCCTAGGAAATCCTAGGACAGGGGGAGTGCGGAGCTGCAATTGGTATTGTAGAAAGGGGTTGGTATTGGAAGTTAAAGGGTCAATGAACCCGATAATCGTTGGCTCAAGCCATGACCAAAGCGGTCGAAGGTTTCGTAAAAAGTGTGCCCTTGGTTTGGGGTCTTGCTGTTCAGTTGTTGGTTGTTCCAGGGGTATTAAGGGGCTTCTGTTGGGGTTGACTGTTTTGTTCCCTGTCCTCCTTCGGTTGCCCCCCGTACCCTAAACCCCCGGCCTGCGCGGACATGGCGCTGGAGGAATGCTCCTGGCGGCAGTCTTTCTGGGGCGTTGGGGTGTGCACGTTACGGTCCAAGGGTTGCAGGTCCCAAGGTCCTAGGCCAAGGTTCGCCCTGAACCCTACACCGTCCCCACTAAACAGCTCAAGATCATAAACCCTAAACCCTAGACCCTGTAGACCCTCCCTAAACCCTAAACCCTAAACCCTAAACCCTAAACCCTAAACCCTAAACCCTAGACCCTAAGACAGAGCCCTCTGCACCTCGTTGGCGGACTCCCCCCTGGGCAGGCTTTAGGGTTTGGGTGGTGGGATTCCTGGATGGTAGGGGTTTAGGGTTTAGGGTTTAGGGTTTAGGGGGCTTCAGGGGATCCCAATTCTGCCTGAAGCCCCAAAGCCCTAAGCTTTGGTCGTGAACACTGCCATTCACAGATGTAGATACACATGTACATGTATGCAGCTATATACAAAAATATATGTATATATATATATAGACAGACAGATAGACGAAAATAGATAGGGATATACGCGTTTGTTTGTTATGTGGATTCAAGAAGTCTTGTAGGCACGTACACACTTGATATATTCATCATATACAGATAGATAGATCCCAAGCAGTCCATCGAAAAAGCTCGCCTATATGCGATGCGATTCGCCCTCGTTCCCATGGATCCAGCAACGCACCGAACTCTACGATTCAAACCCCGAAACTCTATCCTCCAAACCTTCAGCCCTAAGCCCTAAGCCCCAAGCCCTAAACCCTAAACCCTAAACCTTATGCCCTAAACCCCAAACCCGCAGCCTCCAGCCATGTCAAAGCAAGATGTCGCCACCCCCCCCCACGCCCTCCTTGGCAGCCTCATCATTCTACACCCACCACGAACCCTCAACCTTAATCCGACACCAAAACCCTAAACTCTAAACTCCAAATCCTAAACTCTAACCCTCAACCCTAAACCCTAATTAAACCCTAAACCCTGCATAACCCTACATAACACAAATCTTCATAGCCCACCCAGTTCCGGCTTCGCCTCCGGCGTTTCTCCTCCTCCACAGCCTGCGCGCGGATGTCGTCCAGGGCCCTGATGCGGGCCTCCCAGGCAGCTTGGCTGAAGCAGGCTCAGCAGGTTTAGAGTTTAGGGTTTAGGGTTTAGGGTTTAGGGCTTAGGGCTTAGGGTTTAGGCCGGTTTAGGGTTTAGGGCCGTTTAGGGTGTAGGGCTGCTTAGGGCTTAGTGCCAGAACTTTCTGAGGGCCATGTGGCATCTTGGGCTCAGAAGCCCAGAACACCTGAAGGGGCAAACCCCTAAACCCCAAGCCCTGAAGCCCTGAGCCCTGAACCCTGAACCCTAAACCCCAAACCCTAAACCCTAAACCCGAAACCCTAAACCCTTTGAGCCCTGGAAGCTTACTTCCCAATCCTACATCAGGAGGTTTGGGGTTTGAATGCTAAGCCCCGAACTACCAGGCTGGCCTGATAGACCTTCTAAGCCTTAAACAGGCCCTTTGTGGGATGGTCTGTTGGGATTGCCCCTGACCCAGTTGAAAGATCCTGAGGGGCCAAATGAACCCTAAAATTGGGATCACAGTTCTCTATACTACTACAACCCTGATTTTTTTCATGAACCCTAAACCCTAAACATGTTAATCAAGATTGACCGCATCACGTCCAAAGCGTACATACCCTCCAGGCATGCATCACCAGGGACCCAACTCCGCTGTCGCCATTGTGATGGCTTGGGGCTGGGCTCTGAAGTTGATGTCAGGGTTTGGGGTTTAGGGTTTAGGGTTTAGGGTTTAGGGTTCAGCCATGCGAGGCAAGGCTCCCATTTGGTCAGCAAGCGCAGTTTGCGGCATGGTTCAAAGCGGGCGAGGAGATTTCCTCGACCACTCTACCGATGCCAAAATGCATTGCGATGCAACATGTCCTTGCGTCGTTGAAAGGTTCTTGCGATAACAAGAAGAACATCATCAAGCTGGCTTCTCGGGAGCTGATTGACGTCATAAACTCCCATCTCTCTGCTCTGGTGAGGGCGAGAAGAACCCTAAACCCTAAACCCTATACCCTAAACCCTAAACCCCCTTTTTCTAGGGTTCATTTCATCCTTAAGAGGATGGGCCTCCTCCTCATCGCGCATCTGCTTCTCCGCCTCCTCTCTTGCGACCTCCTCGGCCTGGCGTCCCACAATAGCTCTTAGGGTTTAGGGTTTAGGGTTTAGGGTTTAGGGTTTAGGGTTTAGGGTTTAGGGTTTAGGGTTTACCCTAAACCCTAAACCCTAAAATGTAAGCCCTTTAGAAAGGGGAAAAGAGCCTTGCGGGGATATCACCTGCAGGACAGGAGTGGTCGAGGGTTTCCTTTCAGAGTTCCTCACAACGTCCTTATATATATATATATATAATTATATATATATAATTATATATATATAATTGTATATATACATAATTTTACATATGTGTAGATATGTGTATATTTATAACAGGTGCAGGGCCCTAATCCTGCTTGTTCTTGTAGTAGGGAATGAAGGAATGAGGTAACCTATCTAATCCCGCTTAAAGGGTATATATGAGGGGATGTACCTGCAGTCCCTACTAAGAACCAGGGGGTGCCTCTTTAGTTCCCTAGATGAAACTTGAGCCACAGAACGTGTGGCGGACGGGGGAAGGCGATTCCTACAATTTTACAAGGTTTAGGGGTCTAGGGTATAGGGTTTAGGGCAGGTTCGCGGTTCTTACAGGGGCCTAGGGTTCTTATAGGGTTTAGGGATTTAGGGTTGTTGTGGTTCACAGGTTTGTAGGGGTTTGGCTGGGTTTGTGTGTAGGCAACTTCGACTCTTTAAGCATCTCACTTAAAACCAGTGAGTCCTGAATCTTGCAACCCTGATATGAAACAGGGTAAGGTTTAGGGTTTAGGGTTTAGGGTTTGTAAGGTTTAGGGTTTAGGGTTTAGGGTTGAGGGCTGTTATTGGTGAGTATGTAGAGGGTTCCTGATTGATCTTGGTGAGTGGCCGTTAGTAAGTGCGCTTTTGGGATACAATCAATAGACTCTACTTCGTAGAGGCTACTTCCGACAATAGGGGGGGGGGGGGGGGTGGGGTGCTCCGAAATGTGATCGACACGCCCCTAAAAAGGGGCCGCCCAAAAAAGGGTACCACAAATTTGGGTGAACCCCCCCCCCCCCCAATATTCGGTCGCACTCCAGATCAAGATCCCACTTGGGAGCGTTTAAGCCCGCCTAAACATTGAACCCTAAATCCGGTAAACCCTAAACCCTTATTCCCTAAATACCTACTGAAGAACACAAAACCACTGTTTTGTAGGTTCTAAGTATAAACCCCCTTATCGAATTCTTAGGAACCCTACGGGTTCCTATGGCAGGGTTTATGTAACCCTATACCCTAAACCCTAAACCCTAAACCCTGAGCCCTAAACCCTAAACCGTAAACCCTAAAGACCCGAAGTTGTGAGACACTCTCCTACTTGATCCCGGGTTCCCGATCTGAGTAGGAGCTCGCGGGCCCAGATACGGTTTAGGGCCGTTCAGAGTTTAGGGTTTAGGGTTTAGGGTTTAGGGTAGGATCCCCTGATAATCGGGACCCCAATAAGGTACCCCTAACATCGTAAACCCCCTTATTTGTTTTAGAAGGAAACCGAAACCGCTAAGGGTTTGGGGTTTGCAGGGTTCAACAAAGGAAACATGGTAACACTGGTGACGCTGGGGCCGTAGACTGAGGCTTATAGCCTTGAACCCTAAACCCTAAACCCTAAACCCCAAACCCTAAACCCTAAACCCTAAACTCTAAACCCTAAACCCCAACCCCTAGGCCCTAAGCCCTAAACCCTAAATCCTAAACCCTAAACCCTAAACCCCAAACCCCAAACCCTAATCTGAAACCCCAAAACGGAACAAGTAAGGACCCTGTTGGCCACCTCGGCCGCAAGCCGCTGTTGCTCGCGAGCCTCGTGCGGGTTCGGGCTCGCGGGGCACAGCCCGCCGATACCCTGAAGCCCTAAAAAACCCTAAACCCTCAACCCTAAACCGTAAACCCTAAACCCTAACCCGAAACCCTGAACCTTTACACCCTCAACATCGAAACCTTCAAGACCTAAAACCTGGACACCCTGAGACAACCCCGACACCCTAAAACCAAAGTTGGTTCAAAACCTCTAAACCCTACAACCCCGACAACGCTGAAACCCCTAAATACATGCCCGGAAGCCCTAATCATGAAACATCTAAGCCCTAAAACCCGCAAAAAAGTATCTAAACCTAAACCCTAAACCCTAAACCCTAAGCCACAAAAAAAAAACAACAACAAAAAAAAACTAAACTCCAACACCCTGAAGCCCAAAAACTCGCCCATGCCCTCAGCCCTGAGCCCGCAAACCCTAAAACCCGAACCCTACCTTTTTAGGGTTTAGGGTTTAGGGCTTAGGGTTTAGGGTTTAGGGCTTAGGGTTTAGGGCTTAGGGTTTAGTGTTTAGGGTACCTAAGTCCTACCTATTTTTTTGTGGGTTACCTAGAATTCTATAAGGAGGTTGTTATAAGAGGAACCTACCAGAAAGTAGGTTTTGGGTTCTTCAGGCAGACCCTAAAACTTCTAGAGCCCCAAAAGCCCTACCAAAACCCGAATTTGCTAAACCTCTAAACCCTGAAGCCCGCTAAACCCTACACCCTCAAACCAGAAACCCAATAGCCCAGAAACCCGAAACCCCTAACCCCAAAATGCCGAAACCCCAAGACCCAGAAACCCGAAATCCAAATACGCAGAAACCCCCTAAACCCCAGAAGCCTGGCAGCCCCACACCCTAAAACTCAGAAACGCTAAAACCCCAAAACCCAGAACCCTAAATTCCAAATACCTAAAATCCCGAAACCCCAACACCCAGAAACGCTGAGTCCAAATACCCAGAAACCGAAACCCCACAAATCCCTTAACCCTAGCCCTAAATCCCAAACTTCCCCCAACACCCCGAAACCCTAAAACCCTGAAACCCTGAAACCCTGAAACCCTGAAACCCTAAACCGCGAAACCCTACAACCCTGAAAAACCCGAAAATCAGCTTGGGAGCTGCTTGCTCGCGCTCGATCCTCTCGACCTCCTGTTGTTCTTTTGTTTTCTCGTCCCGCTCTCCAGGAGAGAGGCTCTGGCATTTCTTGTTTTGCAACTTGCAGAGGTCTAGGGCTTCCTCATGGTAGAAACCGTGGCTTAGAATGGGCTTAGGGTTTAGGGCTCAGGGTTTGGGGTTAAGGGCTTAGGGTTTATGTCGGGGGGGAGGGGGGGGTGGGCCTCAAGTCTCCTCCTAGCATCTGACACCATGGGTTGAACACATTTGGCGAAGATGTTCTGCGCTCCGCTGCCTTTGCCTTCGTGAACCTAACACAAGGGGCCTTAATCATAATACGTGTTTGTTTTTTTGAATGGCTGTTTGTTGCTTTTTTTGTTTTGCCTGTTTTTTTTTTTTTTTTTTCGGGGGGGGGGGGGTTATGTAGGGACCACGCGGGAAGACTGTTCCTAGTTACTCCGACCCCTGCATTTCGTAGGGCCAGGTCATTCTCATCATGGCTCTTGCCTGGGCCATGAAATCCTGGTCCTTAGTAGGAACTGGGGGAGTATAGGGCCCTATACATACCCTTTAAGGGATTATAGGGTACCCTTAAACCCGAAACCCGAAACCCTAAACCCTAAAGAACAATCACCCCTCAGTTCCCTAAACCCTAAGCTCTCAACCCTCCCCCCCAAAAAAGAAGCACCACACCCCCTGTAACCCCACCCAGAAAGACCCAAGCCAGATGAGATCCCAACCCTAAACCCTATAAACCCTAAACCCTAAACCCTAAACCCTAAACCCTAAACCCTAAACCCCCACCCAGATGAGATCCTAGCCCGGATGCTTGAAGGCACCTGGGTCACGGAAACTTATACAGGTGAACCGGTGGGTTTCGGGTTCAGGGTTGAGGGTTGAGGGAAGGCCCTCGGTTTCGGGTTTAGGGATTGGGGTTTGGGGCTTGGGGTTTGGGGTTTAGGGTTTAGTGTCCTAAACCCTCAACCCTACAACCCTACAAGCCTAAACCCTAAACCCTATACACATCACATCTATAGGTGCCTGCAGTGCATGGCACGGTGCACACGCCTCTTTCGCTCCGGACGCGCCGAAGGGGAGTCCGTTTCGGGTTTAGGGTTTAGGGTTTAGGGTTTAGGGTTTAGGGTTTAGGGTTGAGAGTTTAATTAGGGTTTAGGGTTTAGGGTTGGCCTTGAGGACCCAATGAAGCCTAAGATTGGGATCATAGACCCTATACTACCAGAATCCCGGGTATATGAACCATAAGCCTTTAGAGTGTATCTGGTCCTTAAGGTTAGGCTGCTAGACCCTAAGCACTTAAACCTGAGCCTTTCAAGCCCCAAACCCAAAGACCCTGCTCCCATTTAGTATAGGGTATATGATCCCAGTCTTCGGGTTCATGTGGTTCCAAGACGCTAAGCCCTAAACCCCTCAACCAAAGGCCCTTGGCCCCAAGAAGCCCGTGGGCATCCTACTAGAGGACACCGCATTTCGATGTCATGGCTTCACCCAGCTGCCGCTTCACTGAGCCATGGTGCTGGGCAGGAAAGCCTTCGTTCGCCAAGGCACCCATGAAGTCCCCAAGAGCACGCTTGATGCGGGTAAACCCTGAACCCTAAACCCTTAACCCTGACCCCTGAACACGAAACTGTGTCCCCACGCTTGGGCTGGAGGGTTATAGGGTTTAGGGGTTTAGGGTTTAGAGGTTTAGGGGGTTTAGGGTTTAGGGTTTGGGGTTTAGGGTTTAGGGGTTTAGTGCTTCATAAGGTTTGAAAGGCAGCAACGCCCTCGATGAACCAAGGTGCCATGGGCTTCAACGAAGGCTCCGATCGACTCCTTTTCGGGGCGACAGAGACGGTGTTTGACTTGGGGTTTCTAAAAGGGCCACATGAACCCCAAACGGTTTCAAATGAACCCTAAACGGGTTTAGGGTTTAGAGTTTAGGGTTTAAGGTTCTGAATTTACAGGGTCTAGGGTATACCCTAATATGGATTCTAGTAGTATAGTCCTGATCCCAATTTTTGGGTTCATTTGGCCGCCAAGGTTGGCCCCAGCCCTTAACGCCAAACAAAGGCCCAAACTCAACAGGATTCAGGATTTGGGGTTAGGGTTTAGGGTTCAGGATTTGGGGATTTAGGTCTTCTGAAGCCCCTTGTGCGAAGCCTTTCACACGGGACCCGCTTGCCCTAGTGATCCTTGAATCCTGAACCCTAAATCCCTTAAGGGTCAAATGAACCCTAAAAGGGTTTAGGGTTTAGGGCTCATATACCTTAACAAGGGTTATGGTAGTGTGGGACATATGACACCCCATACGGCCTGTAGGCGCTAATCCATGACCTGAAGGGCTCTTATCTGGGGCTTCGCGCCTTTTATCTCCCTACACATATAAACCCTAAACCCTAAACCCTAAACCCTAAACCCTAAACCCTAAACCCTAAACCCTAAACCCCTTTATGGTATACAGGGGCACCTCTCAAAATTATGTTTGGGTACCTAAACATAGGGGCCGCCCTATAATAGTAACCTCAAAAGAGACCCTAATCTAGAGAATCCCCCCACATGGGGATACAGGGTACCTAAGTCCCTAACTCCGTGCTAAGACGCACTAAACGACACGCCGAAGAGTTTTAGGGCTTGGGGCTCAATTTTAGGTTTTGGGGGTCCCCCCCTAAAGCCTAATTCCTAAACCCTCGAAACCCCAAACCCCCAAACCCCTAAACCCCCAAACGCCTAAACCCCGAAACCCCTAAACCCTAAACTAACCCTACCCTAACCACCCACCCCCCACCCCGGGCCTTCTGGCTTTGGCCTTCCCCTGGTGCCCAGCGCAGTGCCAGTTCGCGCCCGTCCGGGTGGCTCACCTGGCGCAGAGTCGCTTGACAAGCACCTATGCTAGATCCAAGATTAGGGCGTAGGGTTGAGGGGAAGAGTAACCTAGGAATAACAAGGCCCCGGGGGTGCTTAAAGAGCTTAGAGGGAAACCTAAACCTTTCAAACACAAAGGGAAAAAGGGACTGCTCTGGGTCCGAGTATGCAACATGATAGATGCGGACACGCCGCTTCAATGCCATGGCCTCATAGGCCCTATAAAGCCCTAAACCCCTCTCGACCCTAAACCCCCGGACCCTAGACCCCAAAACCCTAGACCCCTGAACTGGCCTGGACCCTATAGACCCAACAAAACTAAGCCCTCAACCCGAAACCCTAATCCCTTAAACCCTAAACCCCGAACCCTAAACCCTAAATCCTAAACCCTAAACCCGAATGCCATAGACCCTGAACCCTAAATCCTGAAACCACAAAAATCCCCGCCTGGACATTGCACACAGGAGGTGGCAGGTCTGTGTCGGTCTGGTTACCTGCTTGTTTACGGTTTAGGGCTTGGGTTTAGAGTATGGGTTTAGGGTTTGGGCTTAAGGGGTTTGTGTCAGGGTCTAGGCTTTAATAGCTGTGGGGACGGGATTTTGGGCACTACAGGGTTGGGGCCCGAAACCCTACACCACAAACCCTAAACCCTAAACCCTAAACCCCAAACCCTAAACCCTAAACCCTAAACCCAGGGTTGGGGCTGGAGCTCTGCTAGACACCTGGATTGCCTAGATGCGACCAGATTCTAGGATTCTCAAAGGGTCGGGCTCTTAGGGTTACGATTAGGGTTCAGGGTTTAGGGTTTAGGGCTTAGGTCTTAGGGCTTAGGGCTTAGGGTTTAGGGTTTAGGGTGTAGGGTTCAGGGTTCAGGGTTTAGGGTTTAGGGTTGAGGGATGAGGACTTGAAGGTTCAGGGTCCTTCAGCCACTTGCCAGCCCGCATGCCTGAATCGAGCTGGAGCCAAAGTACCAGCGAATGTCTCTCTCCGTGGGTGACCTGAAGAAGGCCCGCCCCAAACCCCAAACCCCAAACCCCAAACCCCAAACCCCAAACCCCAAACCCCAAACCCGAAACCCTAAACCCTAAACCCTAAACCCTAAACCCTAAACTGAGGTTGTGGGGTCCAAGATCTAGGAATGCCCTGCATCGCATACGCCAAACCAAACAGAACTCTACAAGAAGTTAGACAACCAAGATGTTCCCGTGGTTGAGAAACTCCATGTATTTTACGCAACAATTGATAACCGCCTCTTACGCACCAGGGAAACAAGGCAGTCCATCTAAACGTTTTGAGCGCATATGTGTTGCCACAGAACTTTTCTTATGTTGAAAAATAAAACCAATGCGCAAAACATGCACGTGGAGGCGGAAAACAGGTTTTTTACAAAGCGGAAGAGCCACTTTACCTGTGAGAAACAAGGCGTTACATGTGGATCAAGATGCCTTTTGATGTGGAGAAGTGTTCAGTATAGCGGCCCTTAATAATTCGAATATGTGTGTGTGTGTGTTGTTGTTTTTTTTTTTTTTTGGGGGGGGGGGGGGGGTAGTATAGTACAAATATAGAGGAACCATAAGGGAAAACCATTTGTAATTAGTCCGACCCCTTTTCTATTTGAATCTGGAACAACAGGCTCTTGGTGTGGACAAAGCCTGGGGTGTGGATCGATAGGGCCTCTTTATTATGCAGTTGCTCGGCCTTTTAGGGTGGAAAACAAAGCGTTGAACGTGGCAAAAGAGGCCTTGTACTCAAGAAAGGTGACTACTATTTGCTTAAGCACCCCGAAAACACATAACATGATAATCCCTGCATTGCCCGGGAGCACTTTCTTCTTGATTTCCGCGGGGTTCTGAAGCAAATAGTACGTAGGTAAGAGCTTGAACGTTCAAGCCGAAGACCTGTAATTCCTTGTAATTATGGAAAAAAGCAAAGCGTTGAAGGTGGACAAGCTAGCCGTTCGTGGAAAGAGTGATATGACCACGAACGATAAGTAAAGTTCAGCTTAGGCTTAGTCCCTACGCTGGCACTACACCAACTACACCCGAACTCCAACACCTGGATCCGAAACCCCAAAAACAAACCGGAAGCAGTCGACATGAGAAGCTTTAAGCGCGGGGCATATAGACTTCAGAACTCCATACCCTACAAGGGGTTTAGGGATTTTGCCTACGAGT